CAGATGTTAACTGATGGACTGGAGTGGTGTGGATTACTTGTGGATTATTGTGATGTTTTAATCAGCTGTTTGGACTCTCATTCTGACGGCACCCATTCACTGCAGAGCATCCATTGCTGAGACACTGATGCAGTGCTGTAATGATGTAAAGATAAGCTGCTGTGTTCTGTAAGACGTTAGCTGGTTGTATCTGATGTTCAGGAAGCAGGTTCTCTGTGTTCGTCTGTGTTCACCGAGGATCTCACGCTCTCGTGCCGATCGATCTGTGCGACAGCAGAACCAAACCCAGCCCTCAGGAGGAGCCGTGTAACGTCCAGCCCTGCCCTGCCTTGTGAGTCTCCTCTTCTTCATGTGTGTGTGTGTGTGTGTGTGTGTGTTCGCAGTAAATCAGTGTTCTCTGATCAGACTGTCTGTGATGTTCTGATGGTCTTTGATGATCTGGTTCAGGTGAGTTTGATCAGGTTTGGAGTTAAGCTCAGCAGGACCGGATTTGAAGAACACTGCAGTGCATGATGCATGTCAGTCATCTTGAGATTATACTGACATCTAGTGGTGATAATGTAGCAAAGACAGAGGTATTTTTGCAGCGCTTTTTACAATACACATGCTTTCAAAGCAGGTTTTAGGGCTGGGAGATACGATTATATACAATGATGTTTTTGCTTTTGTAGGTTTTGTTGTATTAAGATATTTGAATATTGATCAGTTTTGTTCATTTAGGAGATTTACATTTTAGCAAGAGTAAGTGATTCTCAAAAATTTTGATAATAGTATTACTTGTCACGGCTAAAAATTCTGAAAATATCTGATGTTTGGGCAATTAATATCATAATATAATAAATGCATAATGTGATGATGCATACTATCTATCTATCTATCTATCTATCTATAAGCAAGGAAATGCTTATAGAAACGCTTTCTCTGCTAGAAACCCTTTATGAATGTGTAATTTATCATGTTCAGATTCTGAGCTCTTTTACTTGCCTGTATACTGTATGTAGTATATAGTATGCTTCATCAGTTAAGTGTATGCTGAATTTGTGTTAATGTCTTAATACATTAAAGTCACCATAAAATCAAAGCTGACAGTTCATTGTCGGAATATTGTAGGGTTTATTATCAATGATTTATCCGTGTAAATTGAATTTGAACATGCGAAAAACGATTGCAACTTCTGTTTCATGAAGACTTAATGTCCTAAATCGAACAAACACCCTTCAGTGCATCCACATTATGTCTGGAGCTCTGGTGTCTCGTTGCTGATGTCTCTGTGTATGTCTCTCTCTCTGTATGTGTGTGTGTGTTCAGCTGGGACATCGGCGAGTGGTCCGAGTGCAGTAAGTCGTGTGGTTTGGGAGTACAGTATCGTCAGGTCCTGTGTCTAGGTCAAAGGTCACGTGAGGTGCACTGTGTCAGTAATGTGGGTGATATCGTGGCTGATGACGAGTGCAACATGAAGCTGCGTCCGAGTGACGTGGAGAACTGTGACGCAGGTGTGTGCACCAAGAGCTGGTTCTTCAGCGACTGGAGCGCTCAGGTGAGTCTCGCTCGTGTCTGTGATCAGGTGTGTGTCGCTGGGTCACTGTGATGAACGTGTGTGTGTGTGTGTGTGTGCGTGTGTGTGTGTGACGCAGTGTTCGGCGGACTGCGGCTCGGGGGTGCGGACACGCAGCATTCAGTGCCTCACCAATCACATCAGCAGTCTGCCTCTGGAGCGGTGCGGGGCCCAACGGCCCCCCGAGGCCCAGCCCTGCAACAACGGCCCCTGTGAGAGCCGCACGGAGTGGTTCACCGGGCCCTGGAGTCAGGTACGACTGCCACGCTAGTTCATGCATCTACTGTGTGTCTGATGGTGTAGATCAGGGTTTATTAAACTGGGGTTCGTGTGTTAATAATTATTTTGTCAAATTAAAAAAATATATTTTAAAATAAAACAATCAAAATAAAAGACTTACTAAAAATTAGTTGAATCATAAAATGCAGAATTAAAATAAATGATTTTTACATTAAAAAACAATCAAAATAAACGCTTACTAAAAATGTATGAAAATGCAAATTTAATATGAACAATATTAAAATAAAAACAATTAAAATAAATATTAATAATGAATTAAATCACATAAATGCTAAACTAAAATAAGTTTTATTTAAATAAAACCAAAGTAAACACATGCTAAAAATGTATTTAATCATAAAAATGCCAAATTCATATTAAATTAATTTTAAAATAAAAACGTTAGAATAAAAGACTTACTAAAACTTAAACATTTAAAATGCTAAATTAAAATGTAATAGTTTATCAAATGAGACACTTACTAAAAATTAAATAAAGAATTCAAAAGTAAAATAAGTGATTAATTTTAAATAATTATTTAAATTAAATTAATATAAAAACTATCACAACACTTACTTAAAATGTTGTGGCTCCGGTAGTCAGCAGAGGGCAGTGGTGTGTCTGATGAGGTCTGACGAGGGTTTCGTCGTGATGCCGTCATACGAGTGCTCGTCTCTGGACAAACCCCTCAGCCAGCAGAGCTGCTTCATCAAGACCTGCGGAGCCAAGTGGTTCCACACCGACTGGAGCGCGGTGAGACCATCACACTAACAACCACCCCAACAACCACACAGCAGCTCAGCTCAGATCATGTGTGTGTGTGTGTGTGTGTGCAGTGCTCAAAGACGTGTGAGACGGGGTACCGCGTGCGAGAGGTGCGTTGTCTAACCGATGACATGACCACCAGCGACCACTGCGAGGAAACACTGAAGCCTCATGACAAGGAGGAGTGTCACCCTGAGCCCTGCCTGCCTCTGATTGGTCAGTCCCCTCATTAATATGTAAACATGTCACTGCATATTCATCTCTGCTCATTTCATAAAAGCACCTGTGGAAATCCTAACACGTTTACCCAAAATCTAAAGAAAGAAACTGTATTTTGCATATAGAAAATAAAAAAATTGTTGACTGTTTTATGACTTTTCTCATTTCTGAAATATAAAAATATAGATATATTATTTAAATATGCAAAATAGTTATAAATCATGCTGCTGGTATTTATTGAAACAACAAACATTGTATTAATATGGAAGTTTAATTCTGCCACAAAAAAAAAAAATGTAATTGCAACTTTTTATCTTACAATTATGTGTGTTTATATTTTGCAATTCTGAGAATTGTGAGGGAAAAAAAGTCAGAATTGTGAGATAAAGTTTTAGCCTTTTTAGTTTAATTTTTAAATTCTGTTTTTATTCCATAGTTTCCATATATTACAGTAAGTTTGCTTTTATTTTAAAAAAATTGCTATTACAGAAATAAGAATCAAATGATAGCCATCATTGAGAATTATGACGATTACTGAAAAGAAAAAAACAATAAGAATGCATTTGGATGCATTTCAAAAATAATGAAATCATAAAACTGATAAATGAATATATACGATTTTAAAGCGAGTTTACAGTAACGAGAAATTCGCAGATAAATGTGCTTAATTATCATGAATTTAATGTCAGAATGCAAAAATAGGCTTTATTTTCCTTATGCAAAGTATTTATTCACTCAAAAATTAATATTTATCCTTATGCAAAACTGCATTCTTTTTAGGGTGACGTGTGCATGTTTTCATGGTTTAATTTGTGTGTGTTTCAGATGAGAAGTGTCGTGATAAATACTTCAACTGTAACGTGGTGGTGCAGGCGCGTCTCTGCGTGTACGACTACTATCAGATGGCGTGTTGCGTGTCCTGCAAGCGTGTGGCGCAGAGGAGCTCCGCACACTGGAGACAGCGATCGTGATCGAGTGATGATGAGATCAGTATGTACTCAATGCGTCACGCATGAACACTAGAGCGCAGGATCAGGAGAGAATCACTGCGTTAGCAACCACTTCACTTCTGTTCACACTGCGGATTTAAAGTGAATTCAGCGTTATTCAGAGTGAATGTGATCAGAACAGACTGGATCTCTGAGAGGAGCGGCGCTGTGTGGAACTGTGAACGTGTTCAGCTCACTGCAAAACTGGATCCGGTTCCTCAGATCTGAAACGCAGATCCGGTTAGATACGCTTTCTTTGGTCTCTTATTGGATAAACTCTCATCTACGGGCTTCAAGAGCAAAAACACAAAGACAGTGATTCATACTGACAGAATTAACATATGGAGCTAAAATAGTCTCAAAATTGATGTGTTTACAAAATATGGTTCACAAATGCAATAGCTATGTCACATTCAGAAAACAACGCCTTTATGTATAATGCATTATGTACGTTGTAATGCATTATATCTTTTCATAAATAATTGTAACCAAAGTTAAAATGCATTATAGGTTTGTTTGCCATTTTTTTTAATGCATTGTATTTTCTAAAGGTGTAACAATAAGTGTAATAATGCATTATAACAGTGGTTACAATTATTCATGAGGTCATGCATTATAACATGCAGTCATATTTAATGCATTATAACTACGTTTATTATGCATAAAGGTTTTAAGTAAAGTGTTACCAAAAAAATGTATCTATTTGCAAACTCACAAACTCATAACCTTATTCATATTCGCAAAAAAAAATGTTTTGCAAATGCACAACCAAATTTACGTTCACAAAATAAGATTCACAAATGCACGTTTCTGAATGAGTGATTTTTAGACGTGAGTTTTCAATCATAATGCACTTTGTTCAATGCTCTGAATTAAAAATTTAAATGTGGCTTGATTAATTTTGAGACTGTTTTAGCTCCATAATAACCACAGCGATGAACTGACGTGAGTACCGGCACTCTGTACAGTAACATGTAAGTCCTATGTTTTTATTGTACTCACTTGTATTTATATTTTGAACACTTTCAGTTCTGTAGTTTTGAAACAGATTTGTCAGCATTGTCATACTCATTCAGAACCGTTTATCTACCTTTTTAATCTTTATAATTCTGATTAAAGTCTAAAGTTGAACTCTATTCCTCCTGGTCTGAGTGAAGCTTGAAATGAATCTGTCAGTGTGTTTGCAGAATCATATAATAAGATCATAACAGCTCATAAGATAAGTTGGCGCTGCACAATTTGGAGTGAAAAAAGAAATGGATAAAAAAATTGCAATTATGATTTAATATGTGATTTTTTTTATGTTCCAGATTTGCTGCTTGTTTGCACAATTTGGCCCAAAATTTCAAGATTACATATTCATTTTATTATAAATAATATATAAGAATAATAAACACAGCAATTTTTTATTTTATTTTATAATTACTACTACTACAAATTAAAAATATTTATATTTTAATATTTCAATAGAATGTAAAAATAAGTATTTAAGGAAAATAATAATAATAATAATAATTATTATTATTATTATTAAATAAAATTTTAAACTAAAATTTGATTAACCTGCTCTAAAATGAAAACCTGAACTATTTCTGTCATTTTTAGCAGGAGAAGAGACGGGAAATGTGTGCAATCCCATCAAACTTGTTGTGGACGCGCCGTAGAAAATTAATAAATCAGAGTCATCGCAGACTGAATATGTGCAGAGAATCAAATGATCTCCTTAAGAGGCACATCATTGTGTGTGATAACATTTGTATTTGTCAAACCCCTTCAGCCCTGAAGCCATGAGACTCATT